CAGAATGAGCAAAGTACGCTTTTACTATCAATTCTTCACAGGCAGAGTGCATTTGGTATCACTCCACATGTGATAGGAGCCGGCGCTATAGAAGAGGCATCGGCTTATGCGGCTGCTGCCTTGCTTCCTCTAGCACTGGCTACGTTGGCACCGCTGATTCTCTGCCACGGCTCTTCAAGTTCCCCCTTATGCCACCACCGGCCCTGGGAATGGTCACAACTAGGTCTTATTTTCGGGGTAGGTCTTATATTTTAGCAATTCCCAAAAATAGCACTAGGTCTTATATTCGGGGTAGGTCTTATTTTCGGGGAAACAGGGTATATCATTATATACAGTCATGGCCAAAAATATTGGCACCCCTGCATTTCTGTCAGATGATGCACCCCTTCCGGGAACAATTTTCTGCATGAAGTGGTGTATTATTTGACAGAAATGCAGGGGTACCAACAGGGGCGTAACTAGAAATCACAGGGCCACATAGCAAAATTTTGTATGGCCCAAACTGCCCCCCTCCCCCAGCAAAAAAAAGGACCTACCTCCAGAACACATTCCCGCTCACTGCTGCAGAGCCCTCCTGAGACCCTGCACATACCATAGACCCTGCACAACCCACCTGATACCCTGCAGAGCCTGCCTGAGACTCCACACATACTATACACCCCCCAGAGCCCACCTGATTCCGTGCAGAGTCCACCTGAGAGCCCACCTGAGAGTAACCCTGCAGAGCCCACCATAGACTCTCTATGGTGGGCTCTTCAGGGTTTCAGGTGGGCTGGTCACACCCCTGCACACTTCTTAACTGTCAGTCCCGTTCCGCTGTCAGCCTCCTAAACCGCCGGGCCCCCTCAGACTCGTAACTTCATCGGACTTCGGGTCTGTCAGGGGGTGTGTGAAGGGCTTGCCTCAGAGCGCAAACACACTGTTGCAACAGGTCCGTGATGCCGCCACTGGAATCTAGAGAAGTGGACACGTGTTCTCTAGAGTAACGAATCACGCTTCTCTGTCTGGCAATCCGATGAACGTGTCTGTGTTTGGCGATGGCCTGAAGAACGTTACTTGCTTGACTGCATTGTGCCAAGTGTACAGTTTGGTCGAGGGGGGGATTATGGCGTGGGGTTGTTTTTCAGGGGTTGGGCTTGGCCCCTTCGTTCCAGTGAAGGGAACTCTTAAGGCATCATTATACCAAGACATTTTGGACAATTTAATGCAGTTTGGACACTTTGTACACTTTGTGAGGAAATGCTTTTGATTTGTGAGGTGGCTGGGAGAAGCTCACCACCTGTTAGAGAGGAATGCTGTTTGGTGACTTGGATGGCAAGGATTCATTTTCTTTTGATATTGAAACCTTTTAAATAAAACTGACTGCAAGTCACATTTTAAAGAACTTTGCTGCCTGGACTACACTTTTCCCAGGGATGGTGATCCCCATTTGAGCTATGCTCCACAATACATACAACTAAGAATTACTATGAAATTGTCTGCACATGTGTTTGTGAAAGACAGAGGTCAGTTGCTTCTCGGTTTTGATGTTAACTTCTGTTTGCTCCAAATGCATGTAAACAATTGATGGCAGTATGATACTAGATGCATCTAGACACATACTGTATGCATTTAAATGCACACATGTGTAAGTCATTAATGCATATAGGAGCATAATTTCAGCATCTAGCTTGCCAGATTTCTTTCTGCATATAGAGCTATGGAGTGCAAGTGGTATATTTGAATGTAACCATATACTGCATATCTTATGTACGTTGGCACCTATCAAGTAACCCTGGTTGGTTTAAAGGAGAACTATGAGGTGAGTGCTTTTCACTCACCTCATAGTTTTAGCCGACCTGTGACAATGAGACTGTCACAGGTCGGCTTAGTAGATCGGGTGAGCGAACACATACCGGCGTCCGCTCACCTCTCGATCCTGTCACGGCTCTCTGCCGTGACAGGGGAGGGGCTGGATTCCCCGCTCCCCGCTCCGATCCTCCAGTCCTCCTGCTGACTGGCAGGATGGACGGGGGAGGGGGCGGGTACAGCTGGCTCTGCCTCTAGATAGGCAGATCCAGTTGTCAGTCACGCAACTGGGCGGATCCCAGAGGAGTAACTAGAACCTTCAGGGCCACGGTGCAAGAAACCATGAAGGCCCCCCCAACCGCCATGGCACCGCATGGTTAACAGGAAGACTGCCGAGGTCCCCAGCAGGCGCGGGACCTCAGGCAGCCGCTTGTTTAAAATGTTAGTACCGGTGTTCTGTCGAGAACGCCGACCCAGTATCTGCGCTTACGTACAGACGGGATTACCGGGGAAACCATTTACAAAGTATTTACAAAGTATTAGTTTGTGATGGTTAATTGTGACCGTTAATAATATGCCGTCCATGAATGATGGATGGAATATTATTAACAGTCACAATTAAAGATTTAAACGAAATACTTTGTGAATAAATCCTGGTTTCCTCTATAATATTGGTCTGTGCGCAAGCGCATATGCTGAGGTCGGAAAATTCTACTACGTCGGTGTTCTCGACAGAACACCGGAATCTGCGCTTAGTATCTGGGCATTTTCACGAGTATGAGTACTTGGGAAAATGCCCAGTATTGGCAGTGGTGCATCCCTACTTAAAAATATAATGCATTGCTGGGACACGTAGTCCTACATAGTTGGAGCTATTCTGCATTGCTGTATAATCATCATACAGCAATGCAGAATACCACCAGCTATGCG